TTTTCCTGCCATCCTCCTCCTGCTTTTCCTTTGAAGCCACCACGAACTTCTGATCCTGATGGATGGAACTCCAGTTGGTGACATCATTCCACAATTCAAGTGGAGGAGGGAGAAAATTCATTTTCTTAGTCCTTTTCCTTAGCTGTGCAATCCTAGAACTTCTCTGTGTCTCCGTGCTCGTTTTCCCCATCCATATTTCTCCTGGTTAATGGGATCCTGTCGGGGACAGTAGGAGCAGTGTTTCGTTACTCTGGCAACAAGAGCCAAACTTTCAGATGTTATTTTGCTTCTATTAAAAAAAATCCCACTGCCAGTTATGATGTAAACATTTGCAGCTCCCCCTAAATCTCTTTTCTTTCTGGAATTGAAGTGAAATGACCCTTCCGAGGGCAAAGTGAGGGATTGGAGCAGACATTTCCCAGCTGTGTGGGATTTGGGGAGACCCTCAGTGATCTGCTCAGAGTCTTTTTAAGTGGCATATTTACTGCCAGCCTCATTGGAGGGGATGGAGCTTCTCAGCAGCACTGAGAGGCCAAATCCTCTTCTGAATTTATTTAGGAAAAGATTGGATGCTCTTCCTGCTGCAACTGTCTGAAGCCTTCAGCAGGATTTCATGGGAAGTGCTGAAAATAGCCCAGCATTTCTCCTGACCTTTTGTTTATAGCAGAACTAATCCCACCAGGAATTGGAGACCAGGGTGCCATTTCAAGCCAGGTTTATATTTTTCAGACGAGCAGGGATTTGTCACATTTGGATAGAAAGGGAGCAATGCCTTCAGGAATGAGGGATCCTGTCCGTCTTGGCTGGGTCATGGCACTAACAGATTTCCCACCAGGCAGATGCTGCGTGAGTCACCCTCAGTTATTCCTTGAAATGAGCTCTCCCTGTGCTGGTCACCTGCAGAAATCTGCATTGCCCATCTTTGCCTCCTTCCTTCAGCTCCAGTTTAGGAAGATTTCCCTGACTCTGGAGCATTTTTCTCTGGATTGTCCAGCCATAACTCAGTTGTACATTGAATAAAACCCAACAATAACATTCTGCTGAAAAAAACCTCAAAAACACTTAAGCCAAAGGCTTCTTTAATATTGCTCAGAACAGTGAATTATTGTAGGGATCTGGAATTGCCCACTCCTGAAAACTCTTCCTTTGGGAGGCAGTTCTGTGGATTTTGCTGTGCTTGCTGCTGGCACTGAAATATTTCTTCAGAAACTCTTGCAATTGTGTAGAGCTGGGGACTCCTGAGGGACCTTAAAGCTCACCCAGATCCACCCCTGCCATGGGACACCTTCCACTATCCCAGGTTGCTCCAAGCCCCATCCAGGGGACACTTGAGGGATGGGGAAGCCAGAAATTCTCTTGGAATTCCATTCCAGCACCTCACTACCCTCACAGGGAGGAATTCCTCCCCAATATCCCATCCATCCAAAGTCTCTCCTATCTTTCTTGGAGCCCCTTCAGGCATTGCAAAGTCACAGTTTGGTCACCCTGAACAACTCCAGTTCTCTCAGGCTTTCCCTGTAGGAGAGGTGCTCCATCCCTCTGAAGCACAGGTTGGTTTTGGGAAGAGCCATCAGGTAACTCCAGAGCCATCCTGAGAAGTTTTGGAGCACAATTCCCTGGGAGGATCTTGGAGCAGGAGATGAGTCAGTGGAACCATCCAGATTTCCTTTCTTCCCAATATCCCCTTGAATTTGATACAGGGAATGAGATAATTCCTCTTTCCATAACCAGTCATTTCTACTGAAATTCCATCTGCACTCAAAGTGCCAATTAATTATAATTATAATTGTAATTAACCTTTGCACGTGTGCTGGTCTCAAGTAGATTTTCAGTGGAAATCTGTGCTTGGATTTGATGCATTTGACCTCGTTGTTCAGGGCCTGAACCCATCCCTGCCAGAAATCAAAGCAAAGCCACACTTTGCCATCACTCCTCTCACTCCACCTGAGCACGGCAGGCAGGAAAAGGGACATTTTGGGGACATTCAGGTGGCTGCAGGTTGTGTTCCCACCTTTCTCCAGGACAGGGAGGGAATCTCAGAGCTGGGATCACCAGGCAAGAGCTGGGATGGTTTATTCTTCTTATACAGTGAAATAATGCCCCTGCTAAAAACACACTCTGGGCTTCTCCTTTTGGTTTCTCCCCACTCCGTGGAGCTGAAATCAGTTTCCTTTTCCATGCCTGTGATTTTGGGGAATTTCCAGGAGGTGCTCCCTGTTCTATGGCCCTGCAGGGGGTTCCCTAATGAAGCTTTGACAGATTTAAGGTCACTTTTTGCAGGGTTCCACTCAGCACTCCCCGAAATGCACAGCAGGGACAGTTCCTCCACTCTCAACTGCTTTGATTTATGCTGAATTTATTTTCATGTCGGCACATTTCATGTCAGAAAGAAATAACAAATTTAGGTACAAGTTGTTGTTGGGGAAGGGAAGGTCTCCAAGGAAGCAGCTCATGAAATTCCCTCACTTGAGGAGCAGTGGATGCTTTTTATTTTCTTTTACTTTAACCCAACACACTTTTATTTTCAGAACAATTAATTGGGATATTAATGGGAATAAAGCACCTGAAAGCTCTTGGAGTGGGATTTTCTGCAAGACCCTTATTCCACAGCCCTGCATTTCCTTTATAGTGGAATATTTGAGGATGGGAGCCACTAAGTGAATGTTTTGCTGGCACTAAATGCAGGAGATGGTTTTAGTTTAAGGCTCCAAAAGTTTCAGACTGAAAAGAATCAGCGACAGGGAGTTATCTTTTTGAAGAGAACTCTTATCAGCAGAGCTTCTTATCATTTGGAGGAGCTGTGTTTGTCATTTGAATGTGTTTGGCCATCAGTGTCCCAAGATTTTCAGCTTCCAGAAACATCCACTCCTTCTGGGATTCCAAACCTCACTTTGGTTTAAAGAAACATCACCTTTTCCTGCATTCCTGCTGTAGAAATGGGGAAAAAACGTGGGGAAAAGGAACCAAAATCCCAGTATATTTATTTTTGAGATTTTTATAGGTAGGCAAACGCATGTGCTTGCTCGGATTAATAAAAGAGCTCACAACAGTAGCGAGAATGGTTCAAAAATGGGGTTCAGAAGGTTTGAAATGTTTTTAGAAGGTTCAAAAATGGGGTTTAGATGGTTCAAAATGCATTTTAGAAGGTTCAGAAATGGGGTTTAGAAGGTTCAAAATGGGGTTTAGCAGGTTTGAAAGATGTTATAGGAACTGAACATGTTTGAATAATTCTGGAAGAAGTTAAACTAAAATTTCTTATATTTTATTCTTTAAAACAAAGTCCCTTTCATGCCTTGGCAGTTGAATGTTAAATGGGAATTATTTATGTTATGGGATAAAATGGATTTGACATGGACAGAAAGAGACCAGAGAAAGTAACTGGTTTTCATTATTAATATTCATTTTATTATGTTTTATGTGGTAAATATCTCACTGAAGATGGGTCAAAACAGAAAAATTCAGGAGATCAGTTTTTTTCATGTCCCAAATCACCAAGACTTTGAAGAGAGTATGATAGAGGGGAAAAAAAGGGGATAAGAGAGGGAAAACCTGAAAAGGAAAGCAGAGATTGATGTCAGTGGGATGGCAAAGGGGGAGAATCCCCGAATGTTGGGTTGGAAGGGAATTGGGGTCACCCCATCCCCCCCATGTCATGGACAGGTGCTCCAACCCAAACTGTTCCAGGACTCTGCTCATGGGGCTGCTCAGTCACTCCCAGCCCTTCTGAATTTTCCAGCTGAGGAATAAATGAGAAAAAATTCATTTCAAACCTGCAGGGGATCAGTGGGACAAATGATCCTGACAGCATCGGGTGGTTCCAAAACTAATACTGTGGGATGGGAGAATTCTGCTCATTCCTTGAAAGCAGACTGGGACATCCTTGAGCAGCTTGGTGCTGGTGCTGTCTCAGAACACCCAAGATCCCAATAAAATCCTGACAACACCCCGGAGGTCATTCCTGGAGGTCACCTCCTCTTCCTCCCATGCTCCCCAGGGAAATTCAGCTCCAGCCCCTCATCCATGGCCACCCACCCACAGATCAGCTGAGAAATCATTCCTTGGTCAGCAGAACCTTTGTGAACAATGTTATTTTTTTGCTCTTTGTTCTCTTCTTTTGGTTTGAAAGATTCCTTTTGTTCGTTGTGTTCAAGTGTTTAGAAATCCCTCATTTGTGGCTCATAAAAATTAAACCTGGATGTGGGGCTGGGTTTGAGAAATGCCAGGGGGACTTGTTATTTTTTATATACATTTATTTTATTCTGATTTTTGTTTCAAGAAGGGGATTAAAATGAGTTTATCTCAATCCCATTTTTAAGTGCTTTGAGATGGATCAGTTCTTCTGTGGGTTTGAAGCCTGTGAGGGGCTTGTTGTCTTCTCCAGTCAAATGCAGATGGATAAACATCAGCATTAATTAGGAATTCCTAAATCTACACCTTCCTATTGAGAGGGATATAAACATTGCTGTAATAAACGCCTTGGCTGTGGGAAGGAATATCTTGGATTTGGGTGTTCATGCAGGAAAACCTTGTTTATTAAAAGGCCTCAAGGGATACACCTTGGGCAGTACAAGAGCCTGGCCAAGGCTACACCCAAGATGGACCCAAGATGGACAGCAGATCATGAGTTTTCACACTGTTACAAGTTTTGGTCCATTTCCATGTTGGGGTTAATTGTCCAACCACAGCTCCAGGTGCTGCAGTCCCATCCTCCCAGATTACTCTCATCAATTCCCTGTTGTTTGGATTTTTGGAGCATTTTGGGCCTTTTTGTTGTTTACACTTTTTGGGTCTGAAGCAGAGCAGTGTCCTTGGTTCTGGGGCTGGAACAGGATTGTTCTGTGTGCCTGAGCTGTGAGGAGAGCTGCTGACACTTTACGTGGAGCTCAGAGTTATTTCCCAATCTGAAAATACAAATGCTCAAACCTCAAACTTCCAACATCACTGCCAGCCTGCCTTGGTGGCATTCCCAGCTCTCACCTGTCTCTGCTGCCCTCCCACAGGTGCTGCAGGGGGCTCAGCTGATCGCCGTGGCCTCAGCCGAGCCCGCGGCCGGCGGCGTGGACGGCTCCCCGCTGCAGGGCAGCGACATCCAGGTGCAGTACGTGCAGCTGACCCCCGTGCCAGACCACGCTGCCACCAGCCAGGTATGGAGCCAGCTCCCCTTCCCATTCCCCTTCCCCTTCCCCTTCCCCTTCCCCTTCCCTTCCCTTCCCTTCCCTTCCCTTCCCTTCCCTTCCCTTCCCTTCCCTTTCCCTTCCCTTCCCTTCCCTTCCCTTCCCTTCCCTTCCCTTCCCTTCCTTCCCTTCCCTTCCCTTCCCTTCCCTTCCTTCCCTTCCCTTCCCTTCCCTTCCCTTCCCTTCCTTCCCTTCCCTTCCCTTCTTCCCTTCCCTTCCCTTCCCTTCCCTTCCTTCCCTTCCCTTCCCTTCCCTTCCCTCCCCTTCCCTTCCCTTCCCTTCCCTTCCCTTCCCTTCCCTTCCCTTCCCTCTCCCCTCCCCTCCCCTCCCCTCTCCTCTCCTCTCCTCATACTTTAAACAGCTGTCAGATCTGTTTTATATCTACCAAGAAATACAAGCAGCTCATCATCCTCTTTCCAAACCATATAAACTATCATTTATAATAAGAAACATCTTTTTTTTTTTTTTTTGGTCACTGGTGTGTCCTTGAAGGCTGAGAGCCATCGCAAAGGACAGCACCAAAAAGGGGGCTGCAATCAGCCAAAAAGTATTTTCAGGCTGAGGTTTTCCCTCAGAAAAGTTATTCCTGTCCTGACAGCAGTTTTCCAGTTGTTTTGATCAACAGCAAGTCCAGTTGGAAGTGAACACTTGATCCTCTCTGCTTGAGGGGGAGTTATTGGGGTTTTTTTGGTCGTTTTTAATCAGTTTGAACAGTTGTGAATCTGAGCCTAGAAGAAGTCTGTCATCAGCTTGAAGCTTTGGTGACAGCACCACAAAGTTTATTTAAAACACTTGGAACACGTTTTCTGCATTTGGTCACACGTGGTTTTGAAAATCTTCTTCAAGTGGTTGTGGAATTCTTTTTGCCTCGCCATTGCCCTTGTCAGTATTTTATTTTTAACAGTGCTGTGGACACTGAGGGTGTTCTGCAGGGATTGTGCCTTGTTTTTTATGGATCCTCCATCATTGCAGCTCCTGTGGATTTAATAAATCCAAGAACAACAGGGAGACCCTGACTTGGGAAGGACCCACAAGGATCATGACCCCAAATAAGAGTGAGGGGTGCTCCTCATGCTGCTGTCCCCTCTCCAAGCCTGGGCAATTCCCAGATTTCCCTCCCATTCCTCGTGCTTCCTCCTCATCCAGCACCTCCTCAGGCAGGAATTCTGGAGCAAATCATGGAATTCTGGAGCAAACCATGGAATTCTGGAGCAAATCATGGAATTCTGGAGCAAAGTCCCCCCAGGAGTTCTCCCTCTTCAGGGACACTTTGCAGCGTGTTGGTTTTTGTGCTGTGGTTAACCCCAGAGGTTTCCAGGGACAGCAGGGAAGGAATGTGGCAGGAAAAGGGGATAGAAGGAAAAGCAGACAAGCCCCAAAACAAGTCAGCCATAAATATTTCCTCCCTTTGCACCAAGTGAAAACTGAGGATCTGGAGCGAAGCTGGAGAAACCAACTTGGTGTTTGCACTGCTCTGAGTTTATCCATAGTTCAGGAGCTTTTTTTGTGGGTAAAAATATGGAATTTTCCTGTGGAGAAGGATGTCTCATCTGGAGGGAAAAGTCTTATCTTCAGGAAGGGAAAATCCAAGTGAGGCTGCACTGCCACTCCCACCTGGTTCTTTGTCAAGGTGGTGAGATATTCCCAAGGATTTTGCAGCTCTTTATCAATCAAAGCTCGTTAAAGTGGAATTTATTTTCCACCTGGGTTGGATTCTGTGCCAATTCCCTGTTAGAAACAGCACAAATGTGGATTTATTTCATGTCTCACAACAAGGTACCAGTTTTCTGCCCTTTTTTTTCCCCTGAAATGAATCCCTGCTCTGAGTTCAGCTGGAGCAGAGCAAAATCCACTTCAGTTTTGTATTTTCAGTCTATTCATGAATGATTTTTGCTTGGCTTCTTTTCATGTTTTGACAGCAGTTTGCAAAGTCTAGAAATACAGAATATTTGGATCGAAATTCTGTGCTCAGATGCAATGCTGGTGGTAAATTTTGTTAGATTTAGGAAAAAAACCCACCATCATTCCAAATACAAATTCTTGTAATCCCTTCAGATCTGAGGTTGGATCAATATTTGGTGTTGCTGTTGTGCTGATATTTGATAATTCTATTTACTCAGTACACTTCTCTAAACAGGAAAGAAAACTTTGAGGATTATTTAAATTTCTTTGTGCTATCCAATTTAGCAATCTCATAGATTTATTCAGCCCCTTGGCATGAATTTATTGAACTTTTATGCAAACACAAAATACCCTTCAAATTAAACAGGGAAAAATTCCTGTAGCCAAATGCAATTACTGGCAACAAAGCAGAGAGAAATAAATTAATTTAGGAGCACCACTTTAAGATTTTGAACTTCTGGTGTTTAAATTTGAATAAAAAGTAAGCTGGGACTGTGTAGTAAAACCTAAAAGCTGGGAATTCTGGTGGATTTTCCTCCTTGTGGATCTTTGGGCAGGTTCAAGGCTGGGAGCACAAAGCAGGACCTCAAATGAGGCTTTTTTATCACCAAAATCCTCTCAGAGAGAGAGAGAATTCTGTGGCCAGGGTGTTGCACAGAGCATCCTTTCGAGGTGTTTATGAGAGAAAATCCAGCAAGAGCAGATATCTGGAATGAGGGGGAGTTTAGAGGGAAAAAATCCCCAAATCCTTGCCCTGGGATTGGAATTTTATCCGTGCTGTGCTGGCTGCTGGGCAGGGGAAGCTTTTTTTGGGTGTGAGGGGCTGTGTGCAGGCCAGCAGCTGCTCTGGATGCTGCTCCTCTCACAGCTCTGCAGGTGCTTTCCTGGCTCCCAGAAATTTGGATTTTTCCCTCCCCAGTGGTTCCTGGTAGGCAGCGAGTTGGTTTGTAAAGAGATTTTTCCTTTGGAGGTTTCAGTCTGTTGTGCTCACTGGTAATTCTTCCTGGATTTCCCTGGGAAGTGAGGAGAGGCAGCACACAGGAGGGATTTCCTCTGAGGAAAAGCTGCCTGGAGTCGTGCTGCTCTCACTTCACCCTAAACAGGGAAAGGCTGCAGTGGGAAAAATCAGCATTTTTAGACCTTATCCTGTTCCAGCTGGGAAATTCTGATTTCACTGCCCTCACCCCCAGCAGCTCTGGCACGCCAGAACTCCCTCCTGTGTTTTCCATGCTCATCCTTGGTGTCCTTTCCAGCTCCCTATTCCCAAAGTCTCTCTGTTGGGATGAGCCTTCCACAGCTTCAGCTTGGTGCCAGACTCTCTATTTATTTCCTTTATTTGGAGCTGGTTCTTTTCCTGGGAAAAGAGGGGGAATAATTGCCTTGGTGCCACTCATGATTTTGTAGATGTTTATCATAATTGCATTATTTCAGCTTCCTCATTAGGCTTCATGGAGGCTCTTGATGTTATTTTTGGTGCCTCTGTGAGTGTGTTCCCATTCCCACTGTCACAGAGCCCACATCCATGCGGATTTTGCTCTGGAATTTTTTCCACTGGTATTCACAAGAACTTTATATTTGTATAATAAGCTCTCATTCTCTTGGCTACACCAATAAAAAGCACTTTTGGGTTGATTTCCTGCTGTCCCTTTGCAGGGCACCGATTCCCTTCAATCAGCAATCCAGCCAGAAATGCAGATAGAACACGGAGCCATCCAAATCCAGTGAGAGGACTGAGGAATGTTGGGGAGCTGGCAGTGAACTCCAGCCACAGGTGGAGTGGCAAGGGCTGGAAAAACCTCCCAGACCTCAGAACCTCCAGCCATGCCCTGCCCTGCCACACCTGGGATAATTCCAGCTTCAATCAGAGCTGCATCGACACCAATCCAAGTTCTGGCCTTCAAAAAAAATTAAAAAAAAAACATGGGCTGCACTTAAATCCACTCAGAGAGGACAAAACAAATCTTTCATGGGGAGAGGAAGAACTCTCCTGCATCCAAACTGTGAGACTCCATCCCTGCCCGTCCCGTTGGTCCCTCCTGTGAAAATGGAATGTCTACAGATGTTTGGGGTATTGCTGCCCTGCAGTACCTGCTTTGCCACGTAGAGGAAGTTCCAGAGCTCAGATATTTTTCACTGTTGGAACAGCCTTTTTTTTTTTTTTTTTATTTGCTATGGTGTTTATAACAAAAACAAACAAACAAAAAAAGGAAAATATTTAAAAAAAGGAAAAATCCCTTGACAGCAAGTCTTGGCCTTTTGCTGGTGTTTTCTGTTCAGTGTCATGAAAACTGTATTTGCAGAAGACTAACACTTTTGTTTGTACTGTTGCTTAACTACTTTTCTAGGGGAAAATGCTTTAAAAATGCTGTAATTACGCATTTCTAATGAAAAATAAATGTGTATTTATGAATAGTGCAGCTCTAAGTTGCTCTGCCTTGGGAATGACTCCGGGTTGGCTGGGCAGGAATGTTGTCCTGGAGGAGCTGGGGATGGATCCACATTCAGCCTCTCAGGAAGAACCCAATCTCAGACAGTTTTATTTTCTAAATTCCCAATCTGAGACAGTTTTATTTTCTAAATTCCCAATCCCAGACCATTTTATTTGTTAAATTCCCAATCCCAGACAGTTTTATTTTCTAAATTCCCAGTCCCAGACCATTTTGTTATCTAAATTCCCAATGCAAGAAAAATGGGATAGCTGAGTTTTTGAGTGTGTGAAATGTAATGAATTTATGAAATGATTTTATGTAATGTGAACAATTCTGAGCTCTCTCCCTTTCAGTTCCTCCTGCCTCCTTTGTCCAGCAATTCCCCAGAGTGGGATTCATCCATCTGAATCCAACATCCAAGATCCAGGTGAAATCCCCTTTCCTCTGAATATTCTGGGAAATTTAATACAGAATTTGACAAAGTACCATTGTCCTATTTGCTAATCCTGAGTGCAAAGGAAACCTGTTTGTTGTCACCTGGTTATTTTAATGATGCATGTTTTGGAAAACAGGGTTTGGAAAGCAGAGTTTGGAAAATAAGAGTTTGATAAATAAGGTTTGGAAAACAGAGTTTGGAAAATAAGAGAGGGACATGTTGCTTTATATTTGATTTCCAGCTGATTTCCCACAGGGTCATTCCCAATATATGGCTCCTAATGCACTTAATGAATTGATAAATGAGGTATGGCCACAAATCCCACATGCTGGAATCCAGGAGAACTTAACATTTTAATTTTTTTTATTACCAAAGGAAGGGTTAAGAACCCTCAGCTTCTGGGAATGTTGTCCCTGGTAAGTGTTACACTTTCTATAAATTCTTCCTTCTCTTTAGGATATTTCTTGACACAGAAGCACGATGCAGACAACCACAGCTTGTGGAACTCGGGGTCTGCAGCAGGCCAGGAATTTGGCTGCTCTTCAGCTCCTTTTTCAGTGTGTTCCTCAGCCTGGGGGAACTTTGAAGGGCTTGGCACCCAAAGGGAGACCTAAAAATAGTGATGACTGGAAATTTTAATAACTATGGAGTCATGGAATGGTTTGGGTGGGAAGGAACCTTCAGGTTCATCCATTCCCTGTGTGCTGTCAGGTAGAGTTGGGAATTCCTCTGGTTTGTGAACTCAGAATTTTGTCCTCTTTGCATTTTCCAGCTGAAGTTCAGAAGGAGGTTGAGCTCAGGAGACTTCAGCACTGAGCCGGGTGTTCTGGTGAGTATTCCCTGTCCCTGCTCCCTGTCTGGGGGTTGGACCTCCCTATCCAGGCAGGAAATGTCTCCAGGAATGCTGGATTGATCTCCTTGTCCTGTTGGAAATGTCTCCAGGAATGCTGGATTGTTCTCCTTGTCCTGGTAGGAAATGTCTCCAGGAATGCTGGATTGATCTCCTTGTCCTGGTAAGAAATGTCTCCAGGGATGTTGGATTGATCTCCTTGTCCTGGTTGGAAATGTCTCCAGGGATGCTGAATTGATCTCCTTGTCCTGGTTGGAAATGTCTTCAGGAATGCTGGATCTGTTTTCCAGGCTGTGCCACCAACAAATAATTCATTCCCCAAATGAGTAATTCTGGGATGGATTCCCTCCTGGGAATGTTCTGAGCAGGGTGAAGGCACCTTCACCTCCAGGTTGTACCAAACACATCCACAATCCAGGAAGAAATCCTGAAAGTTTTGGAAGATAAGGCAGCAGGAGCTCCTGGGTGCCCTGGGGGTCTGCCTGGCTCTGAGTTTGGGAGGGTTGGTGTTGGTTCACCACGGATCTGGATCCATCCTTGAAGACAATTTTTAGTAAATCCCCTAGAAACACTCAATTTACATCTCCTCTTACTCCCGGTCTCTGCTTTTCTACCCATAACATTCTTTTTCCCTCAGCAAACCTTCCAACATCCTCATTTTCACTGTTCTTTTCCTCATGCTGCTTCTGCCCAGGAGAGATGGAGACCAGGATTGTTCAGAGGACATTTCCTGTGGGGTTACACTTGGATCAGCTGCTTCTTTTATCGGAATTCACCTCGTGCCCTGCAGAATCCAGTTTTCCTGGGATGATTTTGGTGAGAGCAATATTTTGGCGTTCAGGGTTTTTTTTGTTTGGTTTTTTTTTGGTTTTTGGTTTTTTTTTGAGGGGGGAAGAGCCTCTGGTTGCCCTACTTGACCCTTCTGGTTATTTTTAATATTCAGTTCACTAAAGCTATGACCATTTATCCTGATTTTTACTAAAATTCTCTTAGTGGGCCATTATCAAGACCCTTCAGATCATTTAATCTTGAATCCTGCCTGAAAAGAAGAATCCTTAAGGGTTTCCTGATTAAAGCTAAAATATTCTGGTTTGATGGATTGTACAGCAAGAAATCAGTCTCAGAAAAGTGCGGGATGTGGGGAATTTCTTTCCTGCTTTTTCTTCCCTGTTAGTTTAATGCATTTTGTCTTGCAAAACAAATCTATAAAATAGATTTGTGTGTGACCCAAATAAACAAGAATGTCCTCGTGAGCTGCATTTTCAGCCATTTCAGCATTGACACTTTGCCTGTAAAGCAAAGAATTCCATCCAAAAAATAAAAAAGTTGCTGTGGTGCTCATCTCCGTGGTGGAGCTCCTGCTGTGTGGAGATCCTCTGCTGGCTCTGGATTTTATGGTGCAATTCCATGGTTGTGGAGTTTCCTGTTAGAAAAACACTGGGAGAAAACAAATCCCTAACAAAAAAAAAAAACCAAAACAACCCAAACCCTAAATTGCGGCGGGATCTCAAACTCCTGTTAGCAATTCCTGCCCAATTCCCGATTTTCCCAGCTGCAGATTGGAGCTGGAGCTGTGATCAGGGACAAGAATATTCCTTTAATTCCTGGTGATCCCAAAGCTCCTGAGCTGGGCTGGTTCAGAGGAGCCCTATTGTGTCTCGTACAAAGTTTAATCCAGCAGCAAATGTCTCCTTTGTTTAACTTTTTTTACCTTTTTTAAAACTGAATTCTACTTTTCTAAGTTTTCTCCTATTTTTTTCCTATTCAATTTTTTCCTTTTTGTGCAAAGGGAAAAAATATCCTCTAGTATAATATAGTATATATAATATACACTATATAGTATATAATATACTATATAGTATATATAATATATACACTATATAATATACATACTATATAATTTATATATACACATCATATATACAATATCTATATTTATTTTTATATATGCACGTTGGATAGTATATATATTTATTTTTATATTAATACACCTTATATACAATTTATATTTATATACATATACATATATATACTTTGTATTTTATAATTATTTGGTGTTTAGTTTTATTTTTATATTTATTATATTGTATTTCTGTTTAATTTGTATTTCTTTTTTATATATTTATTTTTATATATTTCTATTTTATATATTTCTATTTTATATATCTATATATAGAATATATGAAATACTTTATTTTATATGTTTATATTTGTATTTATATTTGTATATTTGTATATTTATATAGTATAATTCACGTATTTATAGTTATACATTTATATTCATTTATGTATACATTTCTATATTTATAAACCCCATGCTCTGCTGCATTCTGAATTCCATTAATCAGGAAAAACGACAGCAATTTCAGCCCTTAATTTCATGCACAGGGAAGTTGGTTTTTACTGGGCTGATTTAACAGCTCCCAAAAGCCCCCAGTTGGAAATTCCAGCTGATGCCAATTAGGAATATTTTCAGTCCATATCCAGATTTTTCCCTCCAGCTCCCACATGGCACTGGAAAAAAAACTCCCTTTGGAATCCTTCAGGTGATTCACTGGGAATTCTGCTGCTTCCCAGTCTGGGTGGAACAGCAAACTCCCATTTTGATGCCTTTTCTCCCCAAAATTCCCCTCCCAGCTCCTCTGGGGGGCTTCAATCAGCCCCATCCAATGGGATTTGTCCAGGGAGCACCGCGCTCTCCTTGGGGCCATCTGCCTTGCACAATTCCCGGGATTTTACAGCCCTTGCATTACTCAATCCTCCCTCAACTCTCTTAATCCCCCCGCTCTAATGGGCTCCCTGCTCTCCTCAGCAAAACCAGCAGAGAAATTAAAAAAAAAAAATCCAAATGTTCAGAAAAGAGGAGGAGGGAGGGATCCAAGGAAAAGCGAGGCAAAAAAAACGAGGAGCATTTTGTTGGTTTGGTTGGATCCCTCCCTCCTTTTCCATGCTCAGGTTGCCTTTCCCTCCTCTCTGCAGCCCAGGGAGGGGGTTCCTGGGGAATTCCTCATTTTCTGGCATGAAAGAGTTCCCCAAATTTTCTCATTCACCCCAGGAGCAGCAGCGCTGGAGGTAGGCAGGGGCGAGGCGGAGGGGAGAGGCTTGGAGGGGATTTTCCATCTTTTTTTTCCTTTCCCATTTTGTTTATCCCTTGCTGGGTTGTGAAGGAGTCTGTAAACATCTGGGGGGATTACATCTGGTTTGGGTTCTGCCTGAAATTCCTGGGAGTTTCATTCAATTGAGCGTTCGAACGAAAGCAGCGGCTCCTCTGGCAGGTTCTGCCTCAGGATTTTCCAAAAATAAACTCTGCATCCCCACACTTCCCCCTCTGACACTTCCCTGAGTGTTCATGGAAGTTTTCTTGTGTGGCAAAGAGCTCACTGAGCCTGGAGTTCAGTGACAAGAATGATTCACTTTTATTTTCCATATTGTAAAAAGTGGAATGTCTTATTTTTCCTGCCAGAAAAGCGAGTTCGTAGGATTATTCCCTTAAAAACTTTGGAATGTCTTTGCATGGATTGACAGTTTTCCATGCAAACACAACACCCTTGGCACTGATAAAACTCATTGATAGGAAGTGGTTGAACATTTGGAGGGGAGGTTTTCGTGTTTGGTTGTGGTTTTATTTTGGGATTCACCTGTGTCATTCCCTGCTCCAATGCCGCTGGAATCCCAGCTCTGTGCTGCACAGGTGT